GCGCGGGGTGGGCTGGTTGGGCGTGGAGACGATCGCTGGGCTGGAGGTGTCGGAGTAGGAGCAGGGCCGACCCGGGATGAACTCGAGGTCGGCGTGGGCGTTGGAGTGGATTGGGGTGAGGTAGGGCGAGCGAGTCCCGTCGCGGGTGCGAAAAGTTACCTTGATCGGGCTGTCCTCCGGTTGGAGCTGAAAACTGCCGTACTCGAAGACCTGCTCTTGCCCGGTGATGTCGAGTGATGGGATGTAGGGCAAGGCCGAGCCTTTGCATTGCTTCTCTACCGGGCTATTCCGTACCACGGAATTTTCATCCTCGCATTTCGGACGCATTGGTAGACTAGAGTTGGGATAAGTGAAGTCAAAAAAATATACACGCAGCTAAATGATAGATTTTTATATATGTACAGGAAAACGCTTTGTAAAAATTTATCGAAATTAACTTATCTATTTATATTACTGAATCTGGCGTGTAAACACCTTTCTTAGCTCTGTGCAGCCTGCTCTCTAAAGAAAAAAACACTTATGCAAAGTTTTATTATCAAATTTATCAGTATCTATTCTGTATTCTAAAGAATATAATCACTTATATTGAATATCTTTTTAACAAATCTGTGTAATGACATACAAAAGATACCACTGAATAAGGGGAAGTATTAGAAAAATAAATGGTTGTTTACAACATGGGCATAAAAAGCATAAAGATGACTTTTGAGATCCATTTTGTTCGATTGTTTAGTCTTCCGTCCATACCTAATATAAAAGAGGAACGCTCACAAGAAAAGGGAAGCAGCCATAGGTTCTTTTCTATATGTATGGATTCCGTCCGCCCCATCATCTCGCCAATTTGATGAATTTCTGAGCACAAAGCCTAAAGAAGTAAACTAAATTATATGAAATAGCAAAAAAATAGCAGAATTTCAGTCGATCCTCATTGATCATAATAGTACACGATAAAGGAATATTTTACTTTATCCCTTTTGAGAATTTAGAGGATTTTGCACTTGAAATAACATAACACTTCCATTGACATCGAGGAACTCCAACGACGATGATTAATCACCAGACCAAGGAGGTGCTTCGGAAGCACTCAAACTCTCCTTTTCTTTTGCACGTTTCTTTTCCATTGTAAACGCCATTCTAATGTATGACGAGCAGCCTTACAAGATGATACCATGCATAAGATGATCATTCGATCCGTGTGTCATAGTGCCTCTTTAGGATTGATCTACTAATTTTGACAAACAAGAACCAACTTGCACAACGCGAGCACCCATGAATATTCATTTTTTATCTGTTCAATCCCCTGACAGAGTGGAAGCGTTTCTGCTTTTCATGCGAATAGACTTGGTTTCTCAAATGTGTTTCATAACAATATGCGGCAACGGTTTGAACCTCATCGGTAGACAAAAGTGTGTGTTCGAAATAAATCCACGTTATAAATGGCGTATTCTCAACAAAGCGCACAAGAGATGTGAAGTGATACGATCCTATTGGGTTTCCAATAACTCCAACGTAGCTAAAGAAAGGTACCCATGAAAAGCCCGAAAAAAAATATCCCAGCACATTGTTTCCATACACCCTACTGTAGACATACATCAAAAGGAGGCGTAAAGGAAATCGCTCGCTCTCATTGATTCAGTCTAGTGTTGCTCATAAATAACATGGATAAATAAGGCACAAGTGAAAGGCCGCATACGTGGGAGCTTACACCAAAGGAATTTGCAGTATCTCTTTTTTTCCAAGAAACACCAAGACCCAAAAGGGCCATCAACAATTTGCCACTAAAATGACAACAAAGTTGAGAACTGTCACTGGAGTAATTTGAACCCTTTGCAACAACACCCTAACCACAAGGAAGGCATAGGAGATCGATTCAGACTTCTGTGAAACTGCTTCTAGTATATCACTACTGGGCTATGATACACCGTGATTTTGATTGAACAATAAATATTAGAGAGCAGGCTCACACCCTCATTGTTAAGCTTACTCAAACTATCCCTGGATGAGGATGCTACTTGTTGTTCAATTTATTCACCATCACTTCGAAATATTATCTTTGGGAAGCATCAACTATTGTAAAGTTGCCCTATATATAGTCGGAAAGGTTTGTTAAACAAATCATAGGAACCTATAACAGGACTCAAGCTATTAAAATAATCTTGCACAAGGATAATTATATGGAAAGATAAAACACATCAACTTAAAAGATAGGTCTTTATTAAAATATGTGAAAAAAAGGATTAAAGCAAATTGAAATGATGTATGAGGAAAAGGAGAAGGAAAGAATACAAAAGACCGACAACAACAATCAATGTTGTGTCACAATTGAAGGCATAGATAAGATGAACTCAGATACGAGCGGCAATGGAAATAAACTAAACTAGTGAATCAGATCGCTATCCTAGCAACTTCGGTTGATGTCGATAGAAAAACCTTTTTCTCCAACACTTGTGGATCTGAGAGCAAAATTTAGTTACAAACAAAACTATCTAAATATATATAACAAAAAGATACCACTACAATAGCAACGAACAAATAACAATCAGTATCATAATGCCACATTAATCCTACTAGTCATCCACTAATAATGCTCTTCTGTTCATGCCCTATTAACTTTTCAACTATATATCTTCGCCTCACTTTGCGGAAGACTCGCCTTAATGTTCACTGGCAAAAATTCCTCAATCTTCGAGGTATTCACCAAGCGACGCGCCTGCTCACCAAAGACGGTCTTCTGATCGAGGTATCGGCGTAGACGCCGACGCTCCTGAACGTGCTCAAGGCTTACAAAGGTCAAGTATATTGGAACACCCATCACCAATAAACGGCCATACCCTGTCGGGGTGTAGCGCGGACGAAGCATCAACGTGTCATAGATGTATTGCTTGATTTTAGCATCAACGCCAATGTCAAGGAGGTGCGGAGGTCCAAACTGCCGCTTAAGCGTAGCGTTGCCGGAAGTGTAGAGCGTAAGCCCTCCCGCCAGCACACCAGTAATGAAAATGTTAGTTTTGCGCCACCATTGACGATCCTTTTCGATACGCCAATCAGATTCTGTCTGAAACTTATGCCACCGGAGCATCCACTCATCCAGAAACTGAAGTGTGAGCTCTACCTTCATTATCGTTTTTTTAGCTTAGGATTTTCGCTTAGTGTCCTTTGCTTCAATTCAATTTCGATAATTCACTACTGCCCTGTATAAACTTCTCATAGGATTCACAAAGTGTGTAAAGAAAAGAAAAGGGTTAAAAGAAAATATTTAATTAATAAAAATAAGTAGGTTTTCATCTGTTCCCCACACCGTTCGTTGATATCTCCAAAAATTTCTGAGTCTACCAAATCTCCTGTCGCTATTTTTTTTTGAGATCCTTTTTGAATGCTTCATTCTTTCGAATTTAATCGTCTTCGAGGGACTTCCCCAAAGTGTCAACTGTGTAACCCTCTAAATCGGTGTTCTTCGCCGCCCTCCTAGTCTGCGCACCTTTTACCTCAAGCCAAAGGTCCATCGGCGTTACAAATAGGCTGTGTTTCTTTGACTCGGTATAAGCCTTGTAGAGCTCCTTACTGCGCTGCTCGATGCGTTCATTATCGAGGCTGGAGTAGTACGCTTGTGTTTGCCCATTCGGCTTTCGAACTTTCACCTCCACAGTTGGCCAATACTCCGGTCCCAGCTGCGCCTTTCGTGATTCTGCAAGAATCTCCGAGAGCTTAATCGTCCCGTACGTGACGTTATCCGCTTGGTCCTCGTATTTATTGCTATCTAACTTCAGCACACCCATCCCGACACGATCCCCGCAGAGGATTCGAAGTCGCCGCTCCGTTTGCAGGTCAACCAGCGGAGCGCCGTAGTTATCCAGCCGCTGTAGATGATCAATACGACAGCGAATCGACACGTTCCGGTTGTGAATATCTACCATGCGCTGATACCAGCCCTGCCAGTCATAGCGCTTATACTGTAGGTTGTCGTACTGCTCAACAATGCCCATTTCGGTAGGAACGTTATACTGAAAACTCTCCTTCCCAATGGGGCCGATGCGGCGGCGGGAGTGCTGGGCGATGGTGGCAGCCCCTACCTGTGGAAGGTAAACCAGCCTCACAAATATGCGCACCATCATTTCTAAACTCGTGAGTGAATCGAGGTTCAGCGTGGCTGATGTCGATGGGAGTACCCCAGCCTTAATCCACATTGGATGACGTTCACCAATGGCCTCAAGCAGGCATTTGAGCACGCCGGGATCCACTGTAGGGGGCTTCGTTTTGAGTTGTTCCTCTATTGCCGCGTTTTCTTGCTCCAATTCCTCCATCTGGATGCCGAGGTCTCGAAGAATTTCAAGGGTCTGATTGATGTTCCGGAAAGATGTCATCTCCTCTAGAATTAAAGCAACTTTGTTTTTTTTGCTAACCACACGAGCCTGGCGTGCGGCTATGACCTGCTGAAGTTCCTCCTCATACACTTGATTGTAAAGTCGATTTGAAGAGTTTTTATTTCCAATAGCATTCTTAATAAGTTGATGCACAGATAAAAGTGTAGGAGTGTTGCTGAGAAGCTCCACTATCAAGCGGTGCCAGTTTGTCGACCAGTCCACCTTCACAAAAATCTGATCCCAATCCACCCTAGTACTCGTTAACGATAGGCCAAAGGTACTTGCGACGTGCGAGCGCACCGCAGCGTCCGAGCTTCCCAAGATCGAAGCCAGAAGCGACTTGACCTCCGCCGTGCTATCGAAACGAGACGTCAGACCAGCCGCATCCGCTTCCAGAAGGCATTGGCTGTCGTTGATAACTTCACACAACGCGGTCTCACGACTGAGGTCGTCCATCCCACGCGAACAAAGGATTTGAGACAACTTTTGCGAACCTTCTACGGTATCTAACATCCCACGTATTACAAGCTCCGCAAATTTGCGCTTACGAATTGGAGATACGAGTGCAAAAATGTTTTCATCGAATTTCTTTTTAGAATGTCCAAGACTTTCATCAATATTTTTCAAGGGCGTCTGGGTTGTCTTACCAGCTAATAGACTTGAGCTGCAGATCATGCTCAAAAGCGTCAAGTAAAGCGCCACACAGGCGGTAATAGATGGCGTGCGAATTACGTCTTCGTTCATAATTGTATCCCAGACGAATCCCAGGAGCTGCCCACCATCCTTGCCAAAGATTTTCGATTTGTTTTGGTCCACGGTCTCGAAAAACACGCGCCACACTCCATCTCCAAAGCCAAAGTAAGCACCGTTCTCAACAAGCGGTATTAGGCTTTCACGAATCAATTTGTTCCGCTTCAGAATTGTCTTACGATGCAGCACTTCTAGTGCCATCAAAGGCTCCTCCCGGGCAGAAAGCTCTTGGACAGACGCCAATGTCCTGACGTGAAACGCCTTCAATTTAGCTTCGAACTTCTCACGGTTAAAAAGGTGTTCTGAGGCCAAACTGTCATAGACGGTGACCGCTGTGCACCACAGTGTCAGCATTTTTTTCTGGATATCCTTTGGTTTGTCATGGAAAAAGTTAGGGATGTGAGATTTAAATTGGCTGACAAGTTCGTCGGCAGTAGATGAGACCGGCAGCGGATGTGGTATAGCCAACTGCTCCAAGTAGAGGGGCAGTCGCGGGTGGGTGTCACCTATCCAGTATTGCATTGTCCTCCACTTTGTGGACAGCTTCGCAATCTCCTCCCGCGTCGGCGCCGACGCGGCGGCCGTCTGTAAGACCGAGGTTTCAGGCGGGATGGACTCCTGGTTCGGCAGCGTTCGGGTGTACGGATCCGACGCGCTGGTGCCGAGGCCCTCGTGAACTTTGGTGCGGAATAGGTCCGCGGGCGGGGCCGCGCCGTGAGTGATGCCGGTGGCGCCCTCTGCTGTGGCCATGGGCAAGTGCCGGACGAGCCCCATCCCGTGCGTCCCGGCCACCTGGGCCCAGTTTTGCAGCTGCCGGAGGGGCGCTGTGGCCGCAAAGGCGTGGCTGTGACACCGCATGTGACTAAGGAATGCGTCCTATCTACTATAGGCTGGGTCAATAGGCTTCGGGCTCGGCTCAGGAGATCGGCTACCCGTAGGCGATTATCGCAAGGTGTGTGTTGAAGACAGTGCAACCTGCCAATGTAGCAGTACCTTTCTTGAATGATGTGACACAGGGGAAATGGACGGGTCAATTACAGGTGAGCAGTTCCGAACGTTGGGGAAGGTTTTTTTTTGAAGATTCGAACTCCCCAGTTGAGGTTAGGGTCACGTCATTTGAAGCTGTTTTGAAGGAACATAGAATTAACAAACTGACAAATTTATAAAATACTTATACACATTGAAAATGATTTGCACTGGAACACTAATGTTATCCTCAACGACACACACAAAAAATATTATCTTCATTGTTTTACAAAATACGTACATAAATAAAAAAAAGGTGTTGATATTAATTCTAAACTAAGGAATATCGTATTATTGCAAGCTTCATTGCTTGGTATCTAATATTAGTATGTGTATGTGTAGCTAAATACATTTATTGCTTATCTTTCCCATTTTCGCAAGACACCATGTTGACAAAAAATTAATCTAATAGGACATTGATAATAAAAGTAGTTCCATATATATTGCATATTCTCAGGAAACCGTGCGAAGATCGGAATAAATTTGGAGATATAGCAATTAAAAAAAAAAAACCACCTTAAGACAAGTAGTAGGTATAAAATTATATTCTAGATAAACTTCAATAGTTTACCTTAGCGCAATATTTAAACTGCAAACTCAAAAGGAGATCAAATATAGAATGACTTGCAAGAATCCGATGATGCTGTAGAGTCTATCACCCCACAAGAATTTTATTCATCATCCAAGTTCTTATTTGTATTATGCACTCCCTGAATCCTTCCCAACATAGAGTTCACACGGGCATTCCAACGTTGGAAACTCTTAATAGAAAATTCGATCTGCCGTTTTGACTCAATCTGTTCTGCGCGTATTTTGTGCATTTCAATATCGGCAATTGTGTTTAGACGCGATTCATTACGTTTCAGGTCCTGGGCCTTTTTGGTTTTCTTGATTTTTGACATTTTTTCATTGAGATTCTCAATGATTTTTTCGTCGTGAGCTATTTTTTCCTCTACCAGAGATAAGGCATTATTCTTTTGCTGAAGTCGTCTGTTCGCAACCTGAAGCGTATGAACATTCTGGTATTCTTGTTGAGCTGCCTTCTGTTCTGCATACCGCTCTTGCTGCTGTTTGTGTTTGGTTTCTAACTCTTCCATAAGTTTTTCATAACTCTTTGAATTGGAACCAGATCCAGTTCTTTCGAGTTCTGTTAAAGTCTTAGAATTGTATCGGTTAGAGTTCTTCGCCGCAATGGACAAAATACGATACTTACGCACAAAATCAAGCCTCATCTTAACTTCTAGAGCTCGAATCTCGGCTTCTTGCTGCTTCCTCAATTGATTCAATGTGTTCTCATTGTGATAGCGGGAGTTGACAGACCTGACCCGTTCCATATTTGCGTTTTGTCTTTTTTGTAGTGCGAGTTGCTTCATTTCACGATCGCGCATGTGCTTCTCCAGCTTGAGAGCTCGGTTCTCCTCCGCTTCTTTTCCTTTGGCAATGATGTTAAGCATGGCTTCATGATTACGCGCTTTGCATTGAAATATCTTTTGAGAAAATACATCGTTTAAACCTTGATAATACAAGACTTTGGATTCATTTAAGTTTCGTTCTTGCTCATTTCTAGACCTTTCTTCTTCAGCGTTTCTCTTTTTAGCTTCTTCCTCAGCTTTTAAACGTTGCGTGTGAATCCTAACAAGGTGTTTGTATTCTTTTAACTTTCGGGCAAATCGCATCGACTCCACATGATTCTTCATGGGCTCGAGAACCGAATGTAGCATCGCGACCCTCCGCTGGACCTCCGCGGTTGATACCCCCGATGGCGGAGACTCGACCGCGGCCGATGTGATGAGATTCGGGATCTGTTTAATGAGCACAACACTCTCATGTATATCAAGAGCGCATCCATCAGATACATTTTTTGCCAAATTTGGCTTTGTTAATCTAGGTGCGCGATCCAAGAGCATTGACATATATGTATAGATTTATGAATATTGCTTCTTTTAGACAAGAGGGTTGATGCGTGTTTCTATTCTTAGTTGATTAAGGTAATGGAGAAAAATCACAACGCTATAGGTGATATGGTAATTTTAGTAAGCAAAGAAATGATCGAGACAAAGTAGATGATAAATGGATATAAACAATATCACTATTCTGAACTTTTAAAAAACTAAGCACTACTATAAGTGGTTATCATTTTGATCAATCAGAGATTCATCTACAATTTTTCTCCTTATTTATTATGTCGTCTTTGAGGCAAGGCACTTCTAAAAGAAGAAAACCAACAAGCGAAATAAAAAGGTGCCTCTTCATGAAACTGCCTGAAAGGATAAATACATTGAGAGAGTTCTAGGTTGTGAGTACTGCTACTTAATGTATTTTCTCTTTTGAAAGCTGGATAGATGCTTCTGTGGTAATTTTGTTGATTTTCTTCAGAATAAGAATTCTTGATTTGTTGATGAATAGTTAAATATGAAAAATAGAAATCTATCGTGAGTGTTTTCGTCGGTAATTTTCTAATTGCTTCATAAGGAGCTCACGACCTAATTCTTTCAGCGATTTTTCGTCGCCATGGAGGATACGTTCCATGATCATATCGTTATAAAAAACTCGCTGAGAATTCTTTGGGGAGCTTCCGCTTCTTTTTATCCTCCCAAGAGTCTCTATGTTTTCTCGCGAAGCGCAGATCGATGACATGCACTCCTGAACTTCCTCTTCGAAAAGATTTTCTGCCGCCTTTAGATCATTCTTGGTGACATGGGTGGTTGGGCCTGCGGCTTTTTTCACGACGCCGTAGCCTTTGCGTTGAGGATTGAATTCATTGCGTACGCAATCATCGGATGTTGCCTTGCTAGATGCATAGGTGCGGTGTAATCGGTCTGACGTGGATGCCCGTGGGGGAAGAAGGGGCTGAATCGCCTCCCGATCAGGCCTCTGCTGAGATGACATTTTTGCGAGATCCGACGAGGAGGCCCGCGGCCTCGCCGACGAAAACCCCCGGCGGAGCTCCGCCGCGCGGTTTGTTCGAACCTCAACGTGGACGTCTGGCCGGCATTCGTGCGGAATCAGCCGCCGCTGCGGGAGGTTTGATGCAGGGGGAAACGAAGAAGAAGAGGGGCGCTCCCCGTCGTAGTCGCCCTCCG